GGGGGGGGGGGGGGGCGTACTCTTATGCTTTGCATGCCTTAGCGGTTAGACCATTGACCACGCGTCCTCGAGAGGACGGAGCATTGTTCCCACAGGACCGATCACCGATGGTCAATCGTTCCTTCCTACTTTGCCAAAGGTGGCTCAAAAATTTCTTTCCTAGTCTGTCTATCCTACCGATGTCACTTCCCGCTTTTTCAAACCACTTTCTACTCCCCAGTACCGCTACCGTCCTCTCCTCTCTATTCCATGCCTCAAACATCTCCCTGTACGTCCCTTGTATTCTTCCCAGCTCAGTCATGTACACTTCCCTCTCCTTTTCGTACCACGGACATTCCGCGACTACATGAACACTGTCTTCGCATTCGAAGCCGCAATCGCATTTGAACTTGTCGTCTTCGTCGTCTACCGTCCTATGTCTTCGTCGACGTTCGCGAAGGCCTATGTCCCCGGTCCTGAATTTGACCTTAAGCTTTGTCCCTGCATCCATTGGTCCATGTAGGTAATCCTTGAACCCTATTCCTTCTTTCAACATTCCGTACACTTCTAGACTCTCCTTATCCTTGGTTTCTTTCCTTAGATTCTGTTCTTCTCTCTCGGCACAAGCAACAGATATCTTCTTCTTGAACCCCTGTAGACCCTCCGTTTCCAGCGTTTCATCTTCGTCGATGTCCAATCCCTTCCATACGTCCTCTACAACCTTGACCCATTCCGTGGGTTGTCTACCCCTCTTTTTGTTTGCCCACTTCGCCTCCCATACTATTCTCGGCAACCTCTCCTCTCCCATCCCGCACATGCGGTACTGCCATGTCAGCTTCCTTACGTCTCTTCCCGACCGTAGGGATTGGATCCCCAATTCTGCCCTGACTGCTGCATTACTTGTGCGCTTGGAGCATCCTAGGATGATTTTCGCTGCTTTCATCTGCGCCGCCTCGAGTTCTTTCACTACCTTCTTATTTCCTTCCCATACTTCTCCGGCGTACTCCAGCGGCGGTACGATTACGCTCTTCAAAACCGTCAGTTTGATGCGTGTATCAAGGTGCCGGTTTGCGAGTATTGGGTGCAGCTTCCCTGCTCGTGCTTTGCCCTTTTCCGCTACCTTGGACATGTGTGCATTCCACGAGCAATCTTTTGCGATCTCTACTCCGAGGTATGTGTACTGGTCCACTACTGCAATCTCCTCGATCCCCCACTTCCATCTATGTTCTACTGGTTCCTCCCTGCCCTCGTTGCATACCATGACGGCACTCTTCGTAACGTTGGCAGACAATCTCCACTTATCAGTAAACTTCTTCGCCGCGTCAATTTGCAGTTGCAGTCCCTCAGGGGTGTCCGACATACCAACAAAGTCATCCGCAAACAGCATTCCTGACACCGAAGTTTCCGTGTCCCCTACTTTTACTCCCTTCCGGACTGCCTCTACGAGTTCCAACAGATCGTTGATGAACACCTGGAACAATGTTGGGGACAGCGTGCAACCTTGTGGGACCCCTTGCTCAATGTCGAAGAATTTAGACAGTTCTCCGTCTAGCATGACCGCGCTTTTCGTACACTCTGTCATCTTCTTCAGCACCCTCCACATTTTCCCCTTGATCCCGTACTTGGACAATTGTTTCCACAGCCCATTTCTCCATACGGTATCGTATGCCTTTTTCACGTCCAGGAAGAAGCAGTACGTCCGCTTGCCCGCCCTCTTTCTACCTTGGATGATTCTCCCTACCGTGAATGCGTGGTCTACGCACCCCCTCTTCTGTCGGAAACCTGCCTGGCCCTCACTAATGCTACGTTTCTTCTCCAATACTCCCACTATCCTATCGTTCAGCAGCTTACAGAACACTTTTCCTACTGTGTTCAACAGTGTGATACCCCTGTAGTTTCCTGGGTCAGTCCTGTCTCCTTTCTTAAACAAGTTCACAACCACTCCTTCCCTCCATCTACTTGGCGCATACTCGTTTTTCCACACCCAGTTGTATAGCAGTACCATCAGCTGGATCATCCCCTTGCCCCCAAACTTCATGAACTCGTTTACTATCCCATCCGCCCCTGCTGCTTTGTGGCACTGCAGCTTGTTCACACACGCCTCAACCTCGTCCTCAGTGAACTCCTTTTCTAGTTCTACGTTCCCAACGTCAGCCTTCGATGTCTCTTCTTCTTTCTGGGCCCATGCGTCCACCTCCTTCTTAAACACTTGGTCAAAATCTTCATTCTCCGAAGGCACTCCAAGTCTCTTGTAGTGTCCTGCTAGAACTTCCCTTTTTCCCTTCCCACTGCTGACTAGTCCACCGTTCACACCTCGCAATGTTGCTACCCCTGTATCCCCCCCTTGCGCGGTCTTTTTTACCATCCCACTAATCCCTTCCCACATCTGCTTGACGTTCCCCTCCAGGCCTCCGTTGGCCTTCTGCGCTACTTCGTCCCAAATGCTCTTTTTCTTCTTTTTCACTAGTCCCTTCACCTGTTTCCTCTTGGCCCTGTACTTTTCCCAACTCTCTTCAGACCCCTCACCCAGGTACTGCTTGAAGACTTCTCTACGTTCCCCTATTTCTTCTTTCAGCTCGTCATCCCACCACTTAACCGATACCCCACATCGTACCACCTTCTTTCCCACTACTCTCTCTGCCGCTGTGTTCACTATGGACTCCCATCCTTCAATCACCCTGTCCCCTGCTGCTTGTACGTCTACCTTTCCGTCTTCGACGCTTCTCAGCAGGTTTCTGAAGGGTTCTACACTACCAGCCAATCCCTTCTGGAATTCATCGCGTGTCCCCTCGTCTCCCAAACGCTCTACTTTCCACCGGAACACTTTCCTCTTTTTCTTACTCTCCGTCTTTCTAGATCGGTCGATGTTTGCCCATATGAGGAAATGGTCGGTCGAACCTATATCTATCGCACTTACGTGCAGCTCCGGGACCTGTGTGCTCCCCCTATCTACCAGGATGTAGTCGAGGATCGAGTATTCATTGCAAACTGCCCTCTGCCTGGTGAACTCTGGCTTATCGCTTTCCCTCCTACCGTTCAACACCATCAGCTCGTTGCTTCCCAAGAATTCAAGCATCCTCACTCCGTTGTCATTCACTTTGTCTTCTCCGTGCTGCCCGATCGCCTGTCCTCTACTGCAAGCTTTCCCTACTCTGGAGTTGAAATCGCCCACCATGACAACTTCTCCCTTCCTACTGAACCTCTGGACATCTTCCCCAATTTGTCCGAAGTTCTCCTGCGCCTTGCTTGCGACTTTCTTCGACGACGGTGGGACGTATACGTTCCCTAGAAACAAATCTTTCTCACCCCGCTCCCCAGGTATCTTAAGCCATAGGCTTTCCTCGAACTCCGTTTTCATCACTACTTCCACCACGTCATACAAGTGTTCCTTGACCAGGAATCCGACTCCCCCCTCCCCCCTTTTCTTCGGGTCTAAGCCCTTTCTTGCCTTCCCTACCCACCGGTACTTCCCTATTTTGCTTACCACGTCCCCATCCTTCAGTTCCCACGTCTCTTGGATCCCCACTACATCCAGATCGCTTTGTTCTACTTGGTCCACTATTTCCAACCGCTTGCGCTCACTCCTTGCGAACCCGCACACGTTCCACGACCCCACTCTCAGCTTGTGCTTTTCCCTATTGGAGCTTTTGCGCACTCTATCCTTCGCCTTCCGCCCCAGGGGGGGGGGGGGTGTACTCATAATCGTGCATGCCGTAATCGTTTGACCATTGACCTCCCATCCCTACAAAGCCGGGACGGAACACGCCGGGTTCTCACCGGACCAGGCTCTCACATCACCAAGCGCGAAGCGCCTGGGGCTGGGGGGGGGTCATCTTGAAAAAACATGGACCTTGCTAAACGTATGTGTGTCAGGAGATGCAGCGAGCAAGGCCGTGTCGAGGAGGCCTAATGAAACAGGCACCTACCGCGGGTAGATAAAACGCACCCTACGTAGGGTGGTGGAGAACGCCTTCTCACAACCGAACCCCAATCCCCTTTCAGGATTCAAGCGAGGGCGAGGGCGGAGGCGGCGCGAAGGGTTCCTCCTCGAAGCGTGCTGAGGCTAGTAGCGGCTGCGACGATCCTACCTGCGGGTGCGCGTCCCAGAACATGCAGAACATGTTCATGAAAGAGGCGATGCCGTCCATGATGTCGGTACGTTTGGCGAACGCGCGGCGGTTTTTGTTTGGGTCGCTGTTGAGTAGCGATCGTCATAACACTGCTGCTGCTGCTGCTGCTAATGTTGTTGCAATCGATCGGTGTGTCGTTTTCAAGTTTTCAAAACAATCCAGACTTGGCGCTGTCTATCCTGTTTTTTTACGACCTTGGAACGACCCATCTTTGTTTGCTTGTCGCAAAAAACGAACGGTTTTCCACAGAGCATGATGTCTCCCGGCAGCGGCATGGGGCAGATGACGGAAGAGGGCGCCAAGATGCTGTCCATGATGTGGGCGGCGGGCGGCGGGAACCCCCCTCCGGATTTGTCTCCGTCGACGCCCATGACAGCAGCCGGTTTCGCCGAGTTCATCTCGAGCGTGGCCGGTGGTCTGGGCGGCGAGGGCGGCCAGCAGAGGGGACAGGGTCTGTCATCGTCCGGGGCGGCGGCGGCGGCAGGGGACGACGATGACGACAGCACGGAGCCCCCGCCGCTTGACCCTGAAAGCTCGTCGGAGGAAGGGGATGGTGACGGTGGGGGCGGAGGAGCCGGGGGGGGGGGGGGCGGCGGAAGGGGCGGCGGCGGCGGCGGCCACCGCGGCGGCCATGGAAATGAGTCCCCCTCTTTTGTTGGGTTTTTTTTTGGAAAAACTTGGGGGTCCGGGTTGGACACTCTGGGGAAGTACGGAAAGGGAAAAAACGGGTAGGGGGGTTTAAATGGGCCCCCAAAACCTTTTCCTCCGC